TGCCGAGCAGGGAGCCCGATGCGGGACTCAATCCTGGGACTCCAGGATCACGACCTGAGCCGAAGGCAGTCGCTCAACCAACTGAGCCACCCAGGCACCCCAACATTTACATTTTAAGATCCAAAAGTTGGGGCACCTGGCTGGCTCAGTTGGTGGAGCATATGACTCTTGATCTTGGGGTTGTGAGTTTAAGTCCCATGTTGGGTGTAGAGATTAATTAAATGAAATCTTAAAAATAAATAAATAAACTCCAAAAGTCATTCTCAGTCCCCTTCTTGGCCAATCAGTATTATTTGGTAGTTAATTGTTCCTCTACTTTGAAACACATCTTTTTCAAGACATACACTGGGTGTTCTTCCTATGTCAGTAGTCATATGGATCTCCTCTTCCTTCTTCATCCTTATTTTTCTGACCTGGAAGGAAGCACCCCAAGGCTCTGTCCCTCTTACCACTTTTCTATCAATACTGACCTCTTTTACAATCTAATTCAGTTTCACAATTTCATTTAAATACTACTTAAACACTGATCTCTTCCAAATTTCCATCCCCAGCCCATACCTTTCCCCTCTACTCCAGATCCATATATCCACTTCCTATGCAAATGTTCCACTTACAGGTCTAATAGACATCTCAATTTTATTATGTCCTAAACTGAACTCTTGGTCTTCTCCATCCAAAAAGCACTCCTCCTGCAGTCTCTTCCATCTCAGATGTAAAAGATCCTCACCATCTGCACCACAACCACTATGGTCCAAGTGATCTCTTCTTGCCTAAATAACTGTTAAACCTCCTAACTGGCCTCCCAGTTTCTGTCCAGAATCTCTCTGCAATCTGATCTTAATACAGCAATTAAAACTTGAAAAATTTACAGTAGATTATTTTATCCTCTGCACAAACTCTGACAGTGACACCCCATTTATTTCACTTACAGGAAAAGCCAAAGCCCTTATAATGGTACAATGCCCTGCATAATCTGGCCCAAGGTTTTTGTGTGTGTGTATGTATGTATATGTTTTTAAAGGAGGAGGCAGGCAAAATAATAGAAAACCTGCTACTGATTTTTAAATAGTTTAATTAGCAAACATCTATAGAGTATTACCTATGTATGTGCTACTGTTCTAAAACATTTCACATAAATTAAGTCATTTAATATACATAACTACCTTGTGAGGAATGGATTATTATTACTATACTTTACAGATTAGTAAATGAAAGAACAAGATTAGGGGATGTGCTCAACGACACACAGCTAGTAGAGATAGAGCCAGAATTCAAACCCCAGAAGTCTGATTCAGAGTCAAAGCTCTTCACAGCATTCTAAACTGCAGAACACGATAAACTCAATGAATGAAAGTGACCTCTTAAAATATGAAAAAAAGGAAGACTACATATTAAAAAGATCAGTATTACTCAGATCTCATAACTTCTTAGCCAAACATTTTATGAGATTTCATTCAGTTTAAAAAAATATTTGGAAATGTCCATGACTAGTAATTGTTAGGACGAGAAGAGACAGTCAAAATCCAAGATAGCTTTGGGGTATTTAATTCTGGCTGAAAGTTTCAAGAATCTTTATCTTAGGGCTAAACCACATGTTCCTATAAGGTCTCTTCCTGCATTTGTATATTATGAAATATAATCTCTTATAGCAATTCAAAATTGCAGAATAACAAAACCAGGAAACCGTGTAAAATAAACTTAATCAATAACACAAAAGGTAAATGATCTGGCTGAGAACTAGTAACAGTTGGGTTACTGACTTATTTCAGGCCCAGAGAAATAATTGATTTAAGTCATCTTTATCTAACTCAAAATTAAACTACTAATATCCCTGGTTTTAGCTTATCCTTTACAATTTTCCTGATAACAGGCTAGCCATTTCCCAGCACATCTGCCTCTTACAATTGGTACCTTGTGGAACTCAGTTAGGTATTATCAAAACAAACCAAAGAAAGAAAAGATAATGGTTTTAATCTGAAAGATTGTCCAGGCTGAAATTTTTACAACCTCTTTTACTATAATTAGTAAAACACATTTAGGCCAATAGATCTAGACTTAGAAAGTCCAATAATTCTTTATGTAAGAATAATAATAAGCACAGAAAACAACAAGGCCATTGTTATCACCATCTCTCCTAAATATAAGATTGTCTTTTTTATATACATGTAACTATATACCATGCTTCATTTATTTGCTTACCTAGACTTTTTTTTTAATGGAAAGGCACCCAGAAGAGTTTTTCACAGAGAATTCATTTTTGTACTAAAACAACATGGAATGTTCCAGTTTTTTGGCAGAACATTTAGTGTTTTGGGCACCTGAGTGGCTCAGTTGGTTAAGTGACTGCCTTCGGCTCAGGTCATGAT